GACCACACACACACACCCTCAAGTTTCGGGCCTGCAGGGATTCAATCCTTGTGTTTATTTCCGATTTTTAGGTATCTCATTGTTTAAATGAGATCATGGAATTGTGCCTGTCATTTTGCGCACTGCTGTCCCACGCTCATTCAACAATGTCAGAAAGAGAGCTTAATCAGATTCAAAATATCAAGAAGGTAAAGTCTGAGGACACAGAGGGCAGGTGTCTCCCCTCCCCCTCTTTTCATGGAAAAGTGCCCCATTTTTGGAATGAAATGCCAATATTTCCAAAGCTGCCCAACATTGTCTTTCTTGTTTACAGTCGATTTCAACTTACTTTTCACTCAAATGTTCCGAACTTCGTTCCGAACTTCGCAAATTCGTTGCCAAGTTCAAAAGTTCATAATGAAATTTACAAACTGGTTTGTAAACGAAGCCTCTGATTGGCTATTAAATCAAACCAGCCAATCAAATGCCCACTTTACAAACCCGTTTGTGAATTTCATTATGAACCTTTGAACTTGGCAACGAATTTGCGAAGTTCGGAACGAAGTTCGGAACATTTGAGTGAAAAGTAAGTTGAAATTGACTGTAAAGCCTTGGTCGAACGAGATGAGAGTTGATGAGAGTTGAGAAGTAAGAGTTCGCATCAGAATTTTCTCAACACTCACGTCCTGGTCAAACGAGAACAAGAGTTGCATGAGAGTTGACTGGATATTACCACGTGATAGCGAACACTCTTATCAACTCTTAATAAAATTTGAATCAGATCAAAGTTGATGAGGGTTGATAGGCAGTTCCAGCTATAGACTAAATTTTGATATAGGCAATTAAGAAGAAAAAAATCCATCACCACAGCTAGAAAGAGCATGTCAAAATTAGTAAAATTGCAAAGTTTGGTTGCGAAATGTTGTAAAACGAGGAAAATATAGCCCTACGAAATTTGCAATTTTTTTTGTACTAATTTGTATTACGCGCGGGAAAATGCACCACATTTGGGGCGAAAGTGGTGCATTCTCCCGTGCGTAATACAAATTAATACAAAATTTGCAAATTTCGTAGGGCTATATTTTCCTCATTTTACAACATTTCGCAACAAACTTTGCAATTTTACTAATTTTGACATGCTCTTTCTAGCTGTGGTGATGGATTTTGTTCTTCTTGCCTAGATCAACATTTAATCTATAGCTGGAATCAACCATTTGACGGTCAAACGCGAGCGAGAGTTGCATCAACTCTCATCGACTCTCGTCAACTGATCAATTCATCAACTCTCGTCAACTGATCAATTCATCAACTGATCAATTCATCAATTCTCGTCAACTGATCAATTCATCAACTCTCATCAACTCTCATCAACTGATCAATTCATCAACTCTCGTCAACTCTCATCAACTGATCAATTCATCAACTCTCGTCAACTGATGAATTCATCAACTCTCATCAACTCTCGTCAACTGATCAATTCATCAACTCTCATCAACTCTCATCGACTGATCAATTCATCAACTCTGATCAACTCTCATCAACTGATCAACTCTGATCAACTCTCATCAACTGATCAATTCATCAACTCTGATCAACTCTCATCAACTGATCAATTCATCAACTCTCAATCTCTCATCCTCGTTTTATTAGGGCTTACCACTTACGGTATATTTTCTTTGCCTATTCAATTAGAATTACGCACGGCAATCGTCGTTGCTGCTGAAGTTATTCTCTGGTGTAAGAAGTCATCAAGCCAGTCCCCATTTGGCGCAGTTCTTACTTCGGATTGATTTCAATAAGTATTTTTCATCCTCGCAAACTGGACTTCACAAACAAAGTTAGACCATAGCTAATTTGGGTTTCTACGAACCAGTCAATTGACAAATTTGGCCAACGTTGTTTACAGCGTTGCCACCCAATTTACAACTTTTAAATAGATAACAGGTATAAACAAACGTTAGCCAAATTTGTCTATTATATTATTATATGATAACGACATTAAATAATGCATTACAATTCAAGATGGTGTCGCACCATAGTATTGTTTTACCATCATAGTTAGTAGAATAAATGGTTTGGAACATCATTAGAACAACAACATAACTCATTATCTATGTTAGTCAACGTTTATTCATAAATCTGGTCGTTCACCGTCACGTGCATATTGTATTTTTGCCAAATCCACCAATATCAATTTCCAATTTACCCTATTGTTCGAGTCACAGATAGGTACTGTAACTTTCCTAAAACATTGCTGTTGGTTAGTTGGGCTAAAATACAATACACACGTGACGGTGAACGGATTTATGAATAAACTATGACTAACATAGATAATGAGTTATATTGTTATTCTAATGAGTTTCCAAATCATCTATTCCGGTTAACTATGGCCATAGACCCAAAGTACCGTAGTATCATGATAACCATAGTACCTTAGTATAGTACCTTGCTTGGTGTCGTTCAGGGGCGGCGGAACAGGGGGGGCTAGGGGGGCTAAAGCCCCCCCAGAAGTAAAAGTGGGGGGGCTTAGCCCCCCCAGAAAATTTGAATTTTTCGAAAAAATTTTGAAAATTAGGGAAAAATTTAGGTTATTTTTTGAAAATTTAGGTATAAGGGGACAAATTTGCAATATTTTGTTTAAAAAAAGTGTATTTCCGAAAAAATTTTTTGATATAAGTCCGGAAAAAATTTTTTCGGCCCTTTTTTTTTGTATGTTATACCCCTAAAGTGGTACACTCACTGA